TAATGAACTTGAACAAGGACGTTTAGTTGTAGGTCCTCCTAAGCCATCTCCAGGATCTCCTACGAATATAAACAATTTAAAAATCACAAATATTTTTATAAAACTAATATTAATTAATAAAATTAAAAACAAATATTAATTGGTATTTGTCCAGTAAGTTAATACCTACTTTAATAAAGTTGTAAACTAAATTTAGAAACAAAAATAGAAAATTATAGGTAAATTCTAATAATGAATTTGTATTAGTCATTGACATAAAATTCTAGAAATTTAAACAAAAATCTTATAAATGAAAAACAAAAACTGTATAAATTGACTCTTAATTATTGAGTAAATTAATATTTATCAATAGGTAATGAAAAACAAGTAGTACCTAATACCTATAATACATGGATCATGTTGGTTAAAATGACATAATAATTTTATGAAACTCATAATAAACAATGATATTGCTGGTTCAATTTTTAGTATTTTTACAGATAAAAACTAAATAAATATTAAACGAATTGTACCTACGCTTTATTTGTGATTATTGCTCATTTTATATTTGCTACTGCACACAGCTTTATGCCCTGTATGTATTATTTATTTATTTTAATAATTAATATTAATGTTATATAATTATATTGTTATCATTGTTAAACAATACCTTCAGGATGGAATATTATTAAAAGTAAATAGTTATATATAGTACCTAGTTACCTAATGGTTATACTGGTTATAGTATATCTATTACAATAAGTTTTTTTATATTGTTGTTTTTTAAATACTGTTAATATATAGCTATGTAGCATATAGGTAAAACAATATTATACTGGCTCACATGACTAACATGTTTTATATTTATATGCTCTATTATAATTTATAGTCAATTAAAATATATCATAATGATTAATTTGCTATTACACTATTACACTAACAATTTTTCAAATGAAACATTATTAGAGTAAGTTACTATGAATCAAGGCTGGGCAAGTTAATGATATTTTTAACTCTGTTAAGATATATTAAAATCTAAATTAAGTAAATAGTTAAAAGTTAATTATTATTATGTTTTATACTTTATTGGTACCTACTACCTAGTAAAACAATTTTTTTTTAATTATCATAAAAAAAAGGTAAATAAGTGTTTAAATTTAGAGGGCAACAAATTATATGAACCCAGGCCCCAGGGCATACAATTTCTAAATACGCCACTGCATACACCAATAGTCAATACACATACACCATACATAAATGTTTATATAATTATATTACATCTAACATTTAAATAATGTTCTTGATTACCTGTTAATTGATCGTTTTCTGGTTCATCAACAATTGAATCTTCTAAAATACTAATGCATTTGTTTTTATGCAATTTCATACGCATCACTAGACCAGCCATTTCCATCGAGCATTTTAGGCATTTAGCACGTGTTGTTTTATTTTTGTCTTTGATTTCGATGAAGTAGTTCCAAATTGGATCTTTCCTTCGCCCAGTCATCATATTAAGTCAACGGACAACGAGACAACGATTAACGAATAGTGATTGATTACTAATTAATACGTTAATATAACAGTTAAAACGACTTAGAGACTAGAGTCTATAAAAAAAATCAAAACATAATCAATATAGGTAGGTAACATAATACATAAGACTGTCAGAGACTCATAGAGACATAGACCGTTGACCGTTGTAAGTTGTACTGTTGTCTATTTTAGACTGTAGTTCATGATCTATTATTTGTGTGTTATAAATTTATAACGCGATCATCGAATCATGCGATAATATTAATAGTCAATAATGACAATAATACAATATATTCAATAACGACAATGACGACAATAATACAATATGCAGTCGTACCAATGTACGATACGTCCATGCCATAGCTATGTTATCTTATTTCAATTATTTTATTATTTGTTATGAATTATGAATTATGATAGTTAAAAATAAAACACTGTTTTCGTGTGCACGCCTTTCGTATTGCTGTTGTTACTTTGTTAGGTATAACTGTATAAGTGTATAACGCAGCTGGTTCATATAATCATATCTATTATTATAACTATGTAAGGAAAAGGTATTAAGGTCTATTGTTATTACTTAAGTTATTTCCCATTCTTAAACAAAATGCTATTGCATTTATAAAGAAACATTTAATATTCTTATCAATTCTGCATAGTTCATACGAATAATCTCTGTCGAAACTCGAAACACAAGTTATAACTTTATAAGTTCCATAAAATAAAATATTTTGTTATTTTTTTTTTGTCTTAAATAAAATGTTTTAAACGTTTATGTATAAAACGTTTAAAACGTTTAAAACGTTTATGTATAAAACGTTTAAAACAAATCCACTTGTTTAAAACGTTTTAAACACATGTTTAAGACATTTTGTTTAAAACACTTTGCAACCCTGATAGGTACCCACATTGTATAAAACACCGAGTTCTATTGTTATAAGGAACACATGTGAAACTTTGGCAAAATATTTTATTGATGATGTTGAAAACTCAAGCTTACTTATAGATGAGTGTATTCTTTTTTCAAAATTAATTTCCACGGATAAAAATGTAAAATCTGTTCTCTCTATGTATAAGTACATCAAGACCAAAGAATTAGAGTGTATGTTTCCAAATTTAGAAATAGTTATGCGTATGTACCTTAGTACAGCAGTTTCAAACTGATCAGGCTAAAGAGCTTTTTCTGTACTTAAAAGAGTAAAATCCTACTTGAGGTCAACCATGAAGGAGGAAAGACTGAATGCATTAGCAATATTTAGCATTGAAGCAGAATTGGTTGAAAAATTAGATTTTAATGATACTATTAACACATTTGCCCATCAAAAAGCAAGAAAAAGAAAAGTATAAAATAATGGTTTGTTACTTTTTGTAAATGATTTTTTTTTTTTTTTATATATCTAAAATATATTTTGTTTAATTTTAATTTTATGTTTTTACTTGTTTTCACATAGGTATTATATACATGTACATATTGATGTGGCTAATAAACCTAAAATAAAGTTTTATTATTTATTCAAGTATCGAGTAGAGAAATGTGTACAATATTTTTTTTTAATTGGGGGCACCAAATTTTTTACATCCTATGGGCACTATAGACCTTCATCCGGGCCTGGTTCCAATAAAATTATTAGAAATTAAATGCCCATACTTAGGAAGTAGCAAAAGTGTACCTGAGTTAATAAATGATTTGAAATATTGTAATTAAAAATTCAGATGGTTCTTTTTTTTTAAACAAAAGGGATGCATATTATGCACAAGTTAAATTGGGACTTGTCATGTTAAATCTTGAAACTTGTGGTTTTGTGTTATATGTGGGATTGCAGCACTAGATGTCGCTCTGTTGCGTAGAGTGTGTGTGTGTGGTCATAGAAAATATATACCTAGAAGGCGAACTCCACCCATTTTTTGATACCAGTGCGACGCTAGCGCTAAACGAATTTCTTATGCAACAAACATCGATAGTACGTTTTATCGATAACATGATATCTGTTATCGATATTAATGGGTTTGTTTATTATTTCATATTTATTTAAAATAAATTATTGTCATTACTATGGATAAATATCCAATATACTCTTATTATAAATTAATAATATAAAACGACAGAATATGTACAAATAGTAATCATTTTATTTTCACAACCAATTTACATTAAATATGATTAAATTAAATACATTTAATATAGGTAGGTACATACATTGTCATAGAAACATGGTTAATTTTAATACATGATAAAACAAATAAAAAACAATACAATTATAAAAATATTAATTATTTAAAGATTGAGAAAACTAATTACCAACAAATATATGGGAAGCGGTACATTATGGATATAAGGGACTTATAAGTTATAACTTAATATAACTATTAACAAAATTAAGGACATAGATAACCTAGAAAACCATAAGTTAATATAATTACTTAAACTAAAAATAATATATAAAAATATAAATTTATATAAATTAATTTCTTCTTTTATGTTTTAAACAATAAATAAGAGCTAACTCTTTAAGAGTATCACTTTTATATACATTGCGGTCTAAGCCATTTATAATCTTATTTATATTTTTTACATAAGTAAATAAAAAGAAGTTTTTAAATTTTTCAAAAATTATACATTTTAAATCATGTTTTGGACATATAGTACAAACTTCAATATTTATTTCAAAAAGTAAAATTAAAATTTTACCTATATTAGCTTGACCAAAATTAAGTAAAATATTCTTTGTAATATAAAACATTTGATTTATTACATTTTTAAATTTATCAGAAGGATAAAGTAATGATTTTTTGGTGAAATCCCTAATTTGTATTAAATCATTATTTTCAACATCACTAATCAATTCATTTTTACAAAGTCTACAAAAATGAGTGTCTTTTAGTACTGAACGAGCCAAATATCCAGATATATAACCTATTGTCATATCAGTAAGATATGTATACTTTACTGAAGTTGGTAAGTCAATCATGGTTATATTAATTAAATTTACATCTTTATTACTTTCATTAATTAGAAGGCTAGAAGATCCACTTTCTATAAAGTTCTTAAGATTATACAAAGCACTTTCACTATGGTCGATCACACAATTTCCAGATACTTTTAAAGACATAAAGTTGTTAATTAGTAAAGTTTTAAACGAACACATAAATTGATAACAATTAGGATTAATATTCCTAACACCATGACTACTTACACTTCCAAATAAACATTGCCTTGGCAAGAAATATTTTATGTTACATTTTTTTAATTGAAGCCATAGATGTATGAAAGACTTTAATGTGAATATCCAGTTTTTTACAGAAGGAGGTACGGTGAGTTTACCAGTTCTTTTGTTGATGAACTTCATTGACTCAAATACTTTGATGGCATACTTCCAATGTGCCATATGGAGGGATGTATTTCGAACAGCACTCCTTAGAGGTTTCCCATATTCAGCATTTATTGTAGATGCATTGACAGAATCAAATGTTTGGTCCATAAATAAACATAACTATGCAGTACCTACAGCATTTGCCAGCAAGCTTTCTTTGGGAGCTAAAATATTTAATTAAAAAAATATTAGTTACTTGTGTTTACAGAATAAATTCAGAATACTATTAATATACATACCATTATCAGCAACGAGTTTAATTACTGAAGCAACTTTATGACTGAACACTTGTGCAGCATTTGATACCTTCATTTTACTTCTTTCAATGTGAATGTGGTTGTGATTCAATTTAAAAAGAACTCGTAGACCGTACTCTTCATTTTTTTTGTCATGTTCATAAATGGCCACAATATGATCCCACGACGCCGTGTAGGTGGTTCCATCCATGGTAAAAATCAAATCTTTATTATATAAATTATTTCTTATTCCTTTTAATAAATGTGGCGGGTCATAAATTGGTATAATTTCTTTACCGTCCACTTCAAAACCCACATTTTTTTTCTCGGTTGATTAAGGTATATTTTTTATTGGTTTCAGATATAAGGTGATTGATAGCTGCCCTGTTTGTCCCTCCCTGGTCACAAATAGTAGCTACAATTTCAAATCCCGTTTTATTGACACTTTTGATGACAGTTTCCAGGTAGTTGACAAGATCGCTGGTTTTGGTGGTATTGGTGCAGAAGTAATAGGCATATGGCTGCTTCCATTTCTTAATGATTCCTCTTAACATAAAGACAATTACATGGTCTTCAAACTTTGCTGCTTGGTTTTCAGATTTATGAATTCCAAATACCATATCATATTTTTTACCGTACTTCAGTCCGGCACTTAAAGGCATTTCGTCAAAGATGATTGCACATTTTTTATTATTATTGGGTAATTTAGTTGCTTGATATTTAAGATTTTCTTCTATGTGTACATTTATTCCTGGTGTGAAAGGTATTCGGTTCAACATTGTATTCTATGTGGCATTTGATGGAAGTGCAAAAATTGATGATAAAAATCTATAACCCTGGACGATGTTTTATATATAGACAGTGCTAAAATTGTATCTTCCAAAGTATACCTCCTTCCTTTTGGACTATTTTTTTGGATATGTACTTGAGTCTTAATGAAGTCTAGTGTTGTTTTATTAAGTTTTTCTGCTAAGAAGTTACAACTATCAGTTATAACAAACTTTTTGGCAAATTTAAGTTGTTGTTTGAAGGATACATTTTTTTTTAGTCATACAGATTACTTTTTTTTATCAATTTGTTGGCTACGGTTTATAGTTTTTTTTTTCTTGGAGTCAGGTCTGCTACTCTCCTCATTCCAATATTGTACAATAATGTCTTCTCTTTAGCATTTACAGTATTTGGCAATTCAACCAGAGGTGGTGCTATACACAAAATATAAAAAATACTGTCTAATAATCTACATCAATTCAGTTTCAAAAATAAATATTTATTTTCTTACCTAAAGAAATGTCAGACAAACATGAAGCTAACGGTGACGAACAACTAACATTCATGAAGTCAGTTGACTCATCAAATAAAGGTAAAGCCAATGGTGATGGACAACTAACGTTCACAATATCAAATGATTCATCACACGTAGGTAAAGGCAATGGCGATGGACAGCTAACATTCACAATTTCAATTGACTTATTAATTAGCCAATTGCTGTTGTACATATCTGTTTGAAATTATAGCTGAAAATATTATTATTTAACGTTCAACATATTACTGTCAATGCATATCCACTATTAATATATAAGTAAAATTAATTATAAAAAGGTTTTCAAGTGGATATACATTATTGTATACCAGCCACCAGGTGTCACCATTTAATTTCAGCGGGGGTTCATTTTGAAACGTTATTTATATTCAATTATTTTTATTTACAATCATAAAAGAAAAAAATATTAATTGTGGTTAATTCAATTTAATGTAAACTATAACATCTTTTATTTATAATTAGTTCTTTAATGTTTGGAAAGAATGCACTATTTAGCACTGTATATATTTTCTATGATTATTAGCAATGTTTGGAAAGAACACTGTTCATGAACAAACGTTCATATTATTTAGTTAATGATACGCGAACGTCACTTGTTTATTATGATTTCTACAAAAGTAAAATAACGCTCGGAAACCTGACTAATAGACATTAGTAATAGTGTAATACAGTAGACATAAACGCGTATTAAGTTGTTTATAATAATACAAATAATATACATACTTGGTAATAACAATGTAGGCATTGACCCTCTTTTTAAACGCTTTGTTCCAGTACTGTAGCAGGAACTACTGAAATGGTTGCAACAAACCAAAAATGTTTTCCTCACATATGATTTTGAAAGTCCTTCCAATTTCTTATTACCAGTACGCAAAACCCACAAGTCGTACTCCACGTCAATCAATGGAAAAACATGCTTTTTTACCATTCTCTCACTTTCACAACCCAACACACTGCACTTGTTGGAAGGCATACTTATATATTTGTGTTAAAACAAAATATAATGAATATGCAAAAAAAAATGGTAAAAACTGTGGTGTAACGGAATACTCAATAACGTGAGTCACCAAAATAATGCTATGTTCAGTTGTTCTTCGAATTAAAAATTCTTCGTTCATGGATTAAAAAAAAAAAATATGCCATGAGATCGACCACTAGCGGCGCGAGTGAATTTCTTATCAACTAATTTCAGAGTCATTGTTTTTACAGCTATGAGTTAAGCACCCCTGTGTGTGGTACGAGCAGTAAGAGTAGAGTACTAGAGTCAGTGTTGTTGAAAAAGTGCATTTGCACTGTGCTGTGAATTGTGATATAATTTTTCTGTTGTAATTAATGATCCGTTAAGTGTGTTATACGAATAAAGTAGGTAATAAAGTAATGATATCGAATAATAAACGTGCTATATTTATTTACTGTTGATCGGTCACCCCAAATCCCACATAAACTTTGTGGGCCTGTCCGGGATCGGGGTCGTGACTGCGACACTCGTAATTTAATACTATATACGATAGTCGCGCCATGTTGTGAATTTGGAATAAGGAATTTGTAAAGTTCTGATTCGTAAGTACTAATTTTGTGTCTTTAAAGAAGGAAAATCGAGTTAGCCGGTTGTCTGTCACGAGGTTTGAAATGTCTAACGTAAATACGTTACGCAACTATCATAACCTCAGTTACCAGTTACCACTCTACGAAATTCGGTATTGGACAGCTGCAGCTGGTATCATTGCGTAACTGGTGATAATAACGTCTTTCCGAGGTTCCTACCGATAAATATTTGTGTGATTAGAAATGATAAGCATGCCTAGAGCCAAGGCAAAAAAGAGGCAGTCAACGTCAAGCGTATTTCAAGGGAATGATGATACGGTGATTAACGAAAGCGCCGGAAGCTCAAGAACGATAAACTTTCGTGATGTGCAAGAATCACTGTACCCCTTCAGGGGCGACGATTCATACTCCGTCGAGAAATGGGTCGCGGACGTTGAAGAAATGGCCGAGGTCTGTGGATGGACCAGTCTCGAAATATTCATTTACGGTAAGTGCCTACTTCAAGGAACTGAAATGTTGTATATCCGAGCTGAATGTGGTATTAAGTCCTGGGAAACATTGTGATATCGTCTGAGAGATGAATTTAGAAACAGATTGACGGCTGTTAATGTGCTAACTAGCTGCACAAACTAGACAAGAAGGTGAGACGCTTATGCAATTTTTGTACCGAATGAGAGATCTGGCTATGCAGGGTTCGGTGCAAGACGATTCCCTAATTGATTATGTTATATCTGGCATTCAAGATTCCGAAGTGAATAAGACTGTACTCTATGGGGCCACCAACATCGTAGAGTTTAAGCGCAAATTAGAAGTATATGGTGTGATAAACCAGCGAATATTGGTTGAAGCTAAGAATAATATTAAACCACATGGACACCGTTCCGAGCCGTATAACCAGCTTAGACCTTCACAGCTAGTTGATAAGTCTTTACTGCGCTGCTATACGTGTGGGGTCAAGGGACATCTGTCTCCAGACTGTCCAGATGCAGCTAAGGGCATCAAATGTTTTGCCTGCCAGTCACATGGACATCGAGCAGCCGATTGCCCAAATGCAGGTCGGCGAAATGAGGACGGGCCACAGATATATCAAGTTAATAGTTTGCCAGCTGATAGCCGAATTTTTAAGTTGGTCAAAGTCCAGGGTGTGGATACTGCCGCACTGATCGATACTGGTTGTGATATGAATATCTGTCGCCGTTCATTCATGATGTTGTTATCTCAAGAATCAGCAGTATCTGCCAAAGTCAGGTTGAATGGACCAGCTGGTTCCTCATTTTACACCGAAAAAATGTGTGCTGTAGATTTGTCCGTGGATGGAAATGCGTATCACATAGATTTATATTCTGTGTCGGATGATGATGTTTTGTGTGACTTGATTATAGGGAGACACCTATTCTAAACGAAGGCTGAGTCGAGACCTGTATGGACGAATTGGATGTTGGACACCGGCAATCACTGCCCGCTATTCAGAGAGTTGTCGACTCGTATAAACCAGTGGCCGCAAGGTCGGCACCTATTAAGACAAGCATAATACTCAGTGATGACCAGTCTGTGTACCAACGGCCAAGGAGACTGGCCCCAAAAGAAAAAGCTGCTGTAGATGAACAAGTTGATGAATGGCTGCGAGAAGGGATCATACGCTCAAGTTGTTCCGACTATGCGAGTCCTGTGGTATTGGTGTCAAAGAAAGATGGGACGATTCGTTTGTGTATTGATTACCGGTTACTTAATAAGAAAGTCATCAGAGACAGGTATCCGCTGCCTCTAATTGAAGAACAAATTGATCGACTGCGGGATGCAGCAGTTTTTAGTGTTCTGGACCTTCGTAATGGATTTTTTCACGTGCCGGTCGAAGAGGGGAGTGTAAAGTATATCGATGGCGTAGCGCACAAGTGTGATAAGTGACATTTTCGTAATTGTTCAGGAGAACGATTTTTAAGTTTGAGATGTAATAACAAATTCAAAAATGTAACGAACTGTACGACATCTATCGGAGTAAATAATGAACTATTCACTTACAACGTTTGGGCATAATGTGCAGAATTGTATGATTAAATTGATTATGCACTTAACTCATTTTTCAAAAAAAATGTCACTTATCATACTTGTGCGCTACGCCATCGATATTTCCTTCGTCACACCTAATGGTCAATTCGAGTTCTTTCGCACACCATTTGGTCTATGCACCGCCCCTTCAGTGTTTCAAAGATTTATTAACTTTGTTTTCAGAGACTTGATCGAGGCTGGATATGTCATGGCATACATGGATGATCTGATAGTTGTGGCCAACAGTATACCCCAGGGTATTGAACGATTGGAAGAAGTCCTAAAAGCTGCTCAAGAGTACGGACTAGAAATAATGTGGTCTAAATGCCAATTCCTGAAGGAGTCTATCGAATACCTTGGGTATCGCATTCGACACAACTCCATCCGTCCGTCCAAGGCAAAAGTAGCGGCTGTTTGACATTTCCCCATACCACATAATGTCAAAAGTGTACAGAGTTTCCTAGGCTTTACTGGGTATTTTCGCAAATTTATACCTGCATATTCTAATGTGGCTAAGCCCTTGAGTGATTTGCTTAAACAGGGAGCTTGTTTCGACTTTGGACATAAGCAGGAAGCAGCTGTATTAGAATTAAAGAAGCGTCTAACCAGTGAACCCAGTGTAACTACTTTCAATCCAGCTTCAGAAGCCATTAAATTACATATTGATGCCAGTCAATGGGGCTACGGGGCAGTGTTGTTACAATTGGAAAACGATGGCGAGCGCCACCCAGTTTATTTTATGAGCAAAAAACAACTGAACCACAACAGAAGTACCACAGCTACGAGCTGGAGGTGTTGGCCATTGTAGAGGCAATAAAGAAGTTCAGGTCATATCTCCTTGGGTTGCAATTCAAAATAGTGACAGATTGTGCAGCTTTCACGAAGACACTGGAGAAAATAGAACTAGCCACTCGGGTGGCTAGGTGGGCATTGTTACTATCTAAATATGACTATAAAATAGAACACCGGGCCGGGTCAAGGATGCCCCATGTGGATTCCTTGAGCCGGTATCCTGTGTGTATGGCTATAAAAAGTGAACTATTAGCAAGGTTAGTGAGCGCTCAAGAGGCTGACCCTGAACTGTCAACATTAAAGTTAGAGTTACAGCAGGACAACAGAGATGATTTCAGTGTGGAAGGCGGTTTACTTTATGAGCTGAAAGGTAGTAAAAAGTAATTAGTTGTACCTAAGGCCATGTGTCGGGATATTATTCAAGATATCCATAAAATAGGACACTTAGGTGTTAAAAGGACTGAAGAGCTGCTTAGTCAGGAATATTCCATAGCTGATGTCTCTAACAAGATTAAAGAAGTTATAAGAAATTGTGTACCATGTATACTGATGAATTGGAAACAAGGAAAGCAAGAGGGACCACTAAACTGTATTGATAAAGGGGAATCGCCGTTGTCGACTTGGCATATGGACTTCATGGGACCATTGACTATTACCGCCAAGGGTTATAATTAGAGCCCGGATTTATATGCATTTGCATGTTCGTACTAAGTGTATGCACGTCTATGGGGGTTTAAAATGTCCACGTTTCATACCACACCGATTTTAAACACCAAATTTTATATTGCATATTTTGCATATTTCGAGGGTTTTTGCATATTTGTTCATAAATGCATATGACATGCATATTTAATAGGTTTTTAATAAATAAATAATTATATTTTACAATAAATTTTGGAATTGCCTCACTGTATGAGATCGGAGCATGAATAGATATGATAGGTATTAAAAAACATACGTAGTACGTACTACGTACACACTCGCGTCCCGAATAAAGTCGCTAATAATAATCTAATAGTCGGAAATTCCCGGCCGACAGAAATATGTCGACCGGTGATAATAACCACCACCCGGCACGACGACAATTAATTAATACGCAGTCATCGACCATCTACGTAGTTTCGTACGTCAACGTGTTTGTCCGCTGTAGTGCTTGTTTATCCCGTTTTAAAAACAAAGACAAAATGCCAAAAACTAAATCTAATTTGGGTTCATCCATAACTCGATGGATTGAGCCTTATAATCGCGACAAAACTGTGTTTACCACTAGTGGATTAGTAATCTATTGTCAAGTTTGTGACCGGCAAGTGCGTTGTAACAAAAAATTTTTAGTGTTGTTCTGACAAGTTTTAAAATTTATATTATTAATGTAAAATGTTTAAAATATTTAAATTTTCAAAAATGTTATATTGAAAGATTTGTATTTTTTTTTTAAGTTCTCCATTAGTTTTTTAAGAGTAACTTTAAATGATCTAAAATATTTATGTATGATTTTAGTTGTTTTTTTATTTGTATTCTCTTTTTTAAGTTTCCTAAATGTTTTCGATTGATTTAAATGATTTGAAATACAGAGCAGTGGATATAATCATTTTTTTTTTGTTTTTGTTAACATTTTTAGAATTTTCTTTGGTGTAGTAGTGTGGTTTTTTTTAAAAAAAAAAACAAAATTTTATAAAGTGTAACATAATGCATATAATTGCATATTTAGCCACTTTTTCTTTGCATATTTGCATCATATTTGACACTTTTTAAATGCATATAAATCCGCGCTCTAGTTATAATCATATTCTTGCCGTTGTGGACGCTTTTACTAAGTTTTGCTGGCTCTTTTCAACTAAAAGCACCACCGCACATGAAGTTATAACAAAATTGACTACATTGGAAACCACATTTGGTAATCCAGAACGAATAGTGACGGATCAAGGTGCAGATTTCACTTCATTGAGCTTTGAGAGTTATTGTGAAGACCGAGGAATCTGTCATATACTCATAACGGCAGGTATGCCACGTGGAAACGGGCAAGTTGAGCATTTGAATGCTACTATCGCTAACATCTTAGTGAAATTGAGCATTGATAATCCTGATAGATGGTGGCAGTATCTACATCGGGTCCAAATGGCGCTGAACAGTTCATTCCAGAGAAGTATTGGGATGACGCCTTTTCAGCTAACATTTGTAGCTGAGATGAAGCATCCAGAGAATGTACAATTTAGGAAAATAGTGGAGCAAGAATATGTGAAATGCCATGTAAAACAACATCAAGAAGTGATACGGGAGGCCAAGAGCAATATACTAAAGGCACAATTAGAACAGCAAAAAACATACAACAAAAAAAGAAGAGAAGCGACACAGTATGGGCCAGGTGATTTAGTAGCTATTAAACGAACCTAATTCCTGCCTACTTCAAAGTTATGTCCTAAATATCTGGGTCCATACTGCGTAACCAGGCGCGCCGGACCCAACAGTTATGATGTAAGGAAAGTAGGCACTGGGGAAGGCCCAGTGAAGACTTCAACGGGCTCAGATTATATGAAGAAGTGGAAGGAGAATCCCAAAGAAGATGAGTTGCCATCCGAGGTGGATGTCATTCAAGAAGATGAGTTGCTATCCGAGGCGGATGTCGTTCAAGAAGGGGAGAATGTGGGATTGCAGCACTAGATGTCGCCCTGGTGCGTAGAGTGTGTGTGTGTGGTACGAGCAGTAAGAGTAGAGTACTAGAGTCAGTGTTGTTGAAAAAGAGCACTGTGAATTGCGATATAATTTTTCTGTTGTAATTAATAATCCGTTAAGTGTGTTATACGAATAAAGTAATAAAGTACAGTAGAACTCCGATTATCCGAACGCCAATTAACCGGACGAAAAAAAAAGGTCCTAAGCTAAAGATTATATCATAATATTATGTTATACTGATATTATGTTATTGTGTTATACTAGCTGGGAATGTTGGAACATAATAGTGAAGTATTATCCAATTACAACATGTTTGTATTTATTGATGATATTTACTTCAAAATAATCAAAATATAAGTATTTTATATTTTGGGGGTTCAAATTGTTAACTCGGTGGTGCAAAAGTCCCCTATGCACCCCCCAATGGTCAGTTGTTGTCTAATCATCACACAGTTTAGTCTGTCAATTGATATATTATTATAACGAGTGAATGGTCGTGTTACAATGTGCCTAAATAACTTTTAAAATGTCATATGTCAATCATCCGGATATTTGCTTATCCGGACCACCCTTGACATTAATTAGTCCGGATAATCGGAGTTCTACTGTAATGATATCGAATAAACGCGCTATATTTATTTACTGTTGATCGGTCACCCCAAATCCCACATATATAATAGCTTAGAACATAAGTATATTATTCTGAAGACAGATATTGATTATTTTGTAAGAAAATGTTATGCACATTAAAAATTATTTATTTTGAAAAGTTAATACATGAAATTTGTAACATGGTTATAGTTGTACAATAAATTTGTTTTATATTGTTCACCAAGTTTTTATGTTTTTAATATTATTTCCTCAAATTATTTACATTATAAAACTTGTTTTGATTTATTATGACATGTTGCATAAACATATAACAATAGTAAATAACAATATTTAATATATAAGTACAATAGATAAATAGATATAGACAACATGTAAGTTTAAAGGTAAATTATATTTTATAAAAAACGAATTCATAATAATTGTAAGTTAAATTAATAGTTAGCTAACAAAATCCCTACCTAGGCTAAAATAATCAAACAGGGAATTTATCATTTACAAAAATTGGGGTACTTAGATTGCAAATTCCACTTATGATTGTAATAATATCAAAAGCTAAGTAATTGTGTAACCAAATAAATTTATTTTGTAGTATTTTATATACTTAAAAGTCTTTGGTTAATCCTTTCAATATGAACACGGGCAATAGCAATGTCTTTATTAAGTAATGCTTCAGATTTAGAAAATTGAATTTTATTTTTTAGGAATGGTGGCCGAATTATTTGTATATTTTTGGCATACACAAATCATCAATTAAAAAACCTTTGTCTACCATTATTGCATCAGAACTATTCACTTTTTGGATTAACCCACTTTGTTCAAATATACTTTTATCTGATGCTCTACTACCATATGGTTGACTTATATAAGTAATAAGCCCACCTGGTGATACTCCAATCAAAAATTTGAGAGTAAAAGTAGACTTATAATTGCTGTAAAGTTTGATGCGGCATGATAAACACTTAGGTTTTTGGATTGGAATTTCTGTGCAGTCGAATACTACTCTAGTATTGGGGAATTTTTTGAAACAATATGGCATATTACTAATTATTTCTTCTTTAGAAGGCCAATAAATAGAACAACTTAATATTTTTGCTAAACATGGAATAAGTGATGAATATATCATACGACAAGATTCGGCAGTGACATTTTTAAAGAGAATAGATAAAACTACAAATGATAAATCTTGCCTTAACTTTAAAAATACCATAATTATTCTCTCTTTGTAGCTTAAATTATGCTTTCTTTTATCAGGAAATTGTGTTTTATAAATTTCAATAATTTTTTCTAAAAGTTGAAATGTAGGTATTCCGGTTAGGAGAATTTATTAACGTGATAAATATAATTTCAATATCTGCAATAGTAACTTGAGTTGCTGAATCCATAAATTCTCTATTACAATCAAATTCTTTGTATAACTGATTTACAATATTCATAACACTTTCACCATTGTCAGTATTACAGTTTTCAAAATCTGGTTCTTCGTGATCCTGTATCACATGGCTGTCATAATCTAAAGCTGCCTGACACTAAAACAAATTAGTAAGAAAATGATTAGGGAAAAATGTATATACATATTACAAATAGATTAACCACTTCTGCTTTTTGTGTAGAATATATGTCACTTTTTTTTCTGTTCTTAGGACTAGGTCTTTTTTTGGGTGATGTATTATGAAAACTTGATACTGGCAATGTTTGGGTCGGAATTGCAGTCATTAATAGACGTCTTTTTTTATTCATTGCACCTTCAAAAATATTTAGAGTATTAATTTAAAAAAAAAATTAGAATAGTAGAATAAGCACTTACTTTGACAGAAAAAATCATTCTCGGTGAAGTGCTTTGAGCAGACTCTGAGGTTCTTTTTTTTCAAAGTTTCTTTTCCCATTCGTAATTTAATAGCTCACATCTGTCTTCTATCAACTAGATCATTATTACCAAATTTATTTGTCCATAAAACTTTACTTTCATTTTCTTTAGGGAAATGATGAAAGCTAATATTTGATGATGTGGAATATAAAGAATTACAGCGATAAACGGAACAATTCACATGGCTTCCCAGTAATTTTCAATGGCGCCAAGAAAAACAAAAGAAAAATTAATTAAAAACGGGAATCGATCTTGGTTTTTGGTGTAACTTTAAACAAATGACCGTAGATACATGAAATGTTCACTGGTTGTTAATATTTGCATTTTCTATACACGATAACATTTTCAAAATATTTTGATTTATTTTGAACTGTTTAGGCATTCAAATATTAAATTTTGGCAAAATGTATCAAATTTAAAATTGAATAATTATTTTGTAGTTGAAAATTTATAAAATGTTCAACTTTTATATCTAAGGATTTAAAATTTAAAACAAGATTCCACGTAAGTAGTCAATTCTGTTACCAAAAAATCTAAAAAATACATAGGCACAGTTTATTTTTATAGGAATTTTAAGTTCAAATTTGGACGGAATTACATAATAAAAACCTAGAATAACTATTTTAGTTATTTTATTCTGACTGTATAATATTATTCGTGAGTACTTGAAACTTCTAAAGTATACTATTATATATCTATGGTAGTATCAGGGCTTGTTGTTGATGTATAATGCGTTATAAGTACCTAATTTATATTGTGATATGATTAATTTGGAATTTATTATAGGTACCTATATAGGTCAATTTTTTTTTAACACCATAGATAAGTATATAATATGTCTTATACCTAGACTGACATACCGTCTCCGCTCAGAATCGTTTTTCTTATACAATGAAATTATATCGTTGAATTCAAATTTAATACCATGCATTATACAGTGACCCACTTGGAACCTACTGTACAGCAAAGCACCTTTTTTAAAATTTTTTTAAAATATTTATTAAATTTTTTTATAATTCCACATTTTTTTTCATTTTTTAAATATATTTATATTACATATGACTTTTTTTCAAGAATATTTGTTAAATGATAAATAATAAATGATATGCACGTAAATTCTTTCTCAATCGTATTCTTTTTTGGGGTTTTTTTTTGGGTCAGTAGTAAGTTCTTTGTTATTTTTAAGTGTTCTCAATCGTTCGGCCAAAAAGGTATAAAGTTCTCAATCGTTCGATAGCCAATTAACAGGCCGGGGGGGGGGATCTGTAACGGGTAACATGTAAAATAACATACAAATGATACATCCCCTAAAAACAGGGAAACATGGAAACGTCACCTGTATTATGGAAACGTTTACCGGAACTTTGGCGGGATACGCTACGCGGGGTCGGCTGGTTTTTTTTGACATTTTATGTCTTTGCTTTGGCACATAGAATTTATCTGTCTAGCATAGAATTCTATTTAAATCTGAAACATAAGTTAAGTAATATTTGTAACACGTTATCTGGCTATTATAAAAATGTTCGCGTTCTAAAATCAAAACTATCTACAGTTCGTATTAAACTTGCTTCCTTAAACCATTACGATTATTTTATTTTAACTGAAACGTGGTTAACAAATTATATCGATAGTAATGAACTTGGTATGGTTGACTATTCTGTGTTTCGTAATGATCGAAACGACCTGAATAGTGACCATTCTAAAGGAGGTGGCGTTCTTATTGCTATCCATAATCGTTTTTGCCCTAATGTTCTTACCTTATCTAATGTTTCACTAGAATGCTTAGCAGTTTCATTTCAATCAAGAAATTATAAAATTATTATTGTGGCTATTTATATCACTCCATATAGTTCTGTTGATGTATATAAATGCCAATGTGCCGAGATAGAGAACTTAAGGTTAATCTTCTCCTACTATACTTTTATAATAGTTGGTGATTTTAATTTACCTGGGATAAACTGGTCTAATCAATATCACGCTATATTATCTGGTCGTGCCACTGATAAATCAAATGTTCTTGCTGAGACTTTTGCGTATGAGCAGTTTTTTCAACCCAATTTTATACCAAATTATAGAAATAATATACTAGACTTAGTAATATCCAACAACAATACTTTAAAAGTTTCTAAGTGCTCGTTTCCATTAATTTCTGTTGACGTTGCCCATCCTCCACTTCAAATAAATGGTCCAAATTTTGTTTAATCTTTTAAAAGACCATTCCCATCCCCAGAGCATAATTTTCAACGTGATAATTATGAGTCAATGAATGCTTACTTAAATAATATTGACTGGGATTCTTTATTACGTGATTCATTAGATTTTTCTGTCACCGTATCTAATTTTTATTCAGTCATTCATGATGCAATTACCTCATTTTTTCCTAAAAGTTATAAACATAAAAACCAGTACCCTCAATGGTATAGTAGCCAGTAGGGATCTAAAATCTTTAATATACAATGAAAAACGATTACATAAAGAGTTTAAGGTTACAAAAGATCCTCATATCTACAATGAATTCTCGTGATTACGTAGTTTATGCAAACGGAATCTAAATTGTGTAATTTGCGCTATTTACAAAAAATCCAATCTAACCTTACCTCTGATCCAAAGTCCTTCTGGCGATACATCAATGGATTAAAAACAAATAATTGCATACCACAAACTATGATGCTAGAGGAGAAGTCATCAACAGGTGGCCCTGAGGTCGCTAATCTTTTTAAAGAATTTTTCAGTTCGGTTTATTCTACCAACAAATTGAATATAGATGAATGTCTTGGATACTCAAAAGACTATGCAGATATATACCAGGTACAACCGTATATTTCATTCGCTGTTAGCGAGATCTTTGAAGCCATTAATTCTTTAGATTAAAATCCATGCCCTGGTCCAGATGGTATTCCTAATACTATGTTACGGTCTTGTATTTTTTCGTTATCTGTTCCCTTATGTATATTATTTAATCGTTCATTAATTGTTGACTCTATCCCCTCCCAGTGGAAAACCAGATTTATTACACCCATTTATAAGTCTGGTAACAAAAGTGTAATAGCTAATTACAGACCGGTTGCTAATCAACTTTACCAAAATTGTTAGATGAATTAGTGACAAAAGCATTAACATTTTCTTTTAAAACCATTTTAGATAAGAACCAACATGGATTTAGGAAAGGGCGTTCTGTGGAAACTAATCTTCTCTGTTTTTATAATTTCTTGGTAAATTATATGGAATCCGGAATTCAGACGGACGTTAATTATACAGATTTCAGCAAGGCTTTCGATTCAGTTAACCATTCAGTGCTATATGAAAAATTAAAGACATACGGTTTATCCGATCATTTGTTAACTTGGATTAGTTCTTACTCAGTGAATAGGGTTCAACAGGTGAAAATAAATGGTTTTATATCAAATAAAATACCAGTACCATCTGGTGTTCCCCAAGGGGGGCATTTATCATCACTGCATTATTTATTCTGGACATAGGTGCTTGTTTCAAATACTGTAAATATCAACTGTTTGCTGATGATCTTAAGATTTATGCAAATGTCGTCACAATTTATGATCATTAAAAAATTCAAGATGACCTGAACAGTTTTTGTGATTGGTGTCAATTAAATGGGTTAAAACTGAACACCATTAATGCCGGTATGCATAGTCCTGATAGAATTTGGCAATATAATATAGCTTATGTATTACATAACAATGTAACTCATAAATTATTTATGTCATACATATAAGGAACTTATGAGATGCCTAAATTGTATTCTTGCATAGTCAATATTTATGTGTTTCATTGTAATGGGAAGTTTTATGAAAATAAAAATCGTTTTTAAATATGTCGGTATGTTCACACCAGTGTTATCAGTAAACATGACGCGGTCCCGCGCAAAATCTGTTTGAATTCAAACAGCCTTTGCGTGGTAGCCGCGCCGTGGCTTCTCAATCAAACCGCCAATCGACGACGGACGACGCCGGCGCGCGACACGCGCGCCTGGAACCGTCGGCCGGCCGTCCAGCGAACCGGATTGTCAAGGCGCGCTCTCTCGTCTTTCCGACACCGTCCGGTACGCATCTAAACCACGACACGATTTGTGTATTTCACCACCGATATATATATATTGAATAATTTTGTTTCTTTACAATAAAGGAAAATTACACCTGAGTGCGACGTTCGTTGGTTCTTTCTTTCTTTTTTTTATAATATTGTTATTATTCCGTTTTATTTGTTTTCGACCCGACGGTATCCGTCGGTCACCATCACCACATCAACGTCCACGCGGCACAGAACAAGTCCGCGTCAACTGGCTCACCGAACAGGAATCACTGGTAAGTGAAAACTTTCTTACCACATACTACCACCCCCAAATAAACCCCCGTTGCGCGTTTTGGAAAAAAGTCACCAACGCGATCCGGCAAAAACGCGGTTTGCAGGCGGTAACGGAAAAACCGGCGTTACGTAATATATTACATAACCATAAAGGACGTAACGATCGGCCGCGCCGCCCGACTTACGGACGCACCGACCACACCGCGCGCGACGCACCAAACACACACGAGGTAGGCATTAGGTAGGAACGCAAGAGCGCGAGAGGGTCACACCACCACCGCCCAGCTCCACCACCCGCCAACGACAACACGCGATTTAGCGATTACCCGGGACAAAAATACCACATAATCGGACTGCCGCCGCCGCCGCTAAAAGCGACAGCCGCCGCCTTCCCTAATCGCAGTAGTGCACCGGATACGCACACACGCGCATCCGCGAAAACACTCTGCGAAGACCGGTTACTGTGATCGCCCGGCAAGCGCAACAATAACAATAACAACCCACTGGGCACTGACCTACATTCTGTACGCAAATAAACACCGATAAGCGGCCAACACAGCTGATCGAAGGAACGCGATACCCGTTCCAACGACAACAACCACATTTTATATTTCCTCGTCAACAAAACCGGAAAACCAACCGGAAGTCATGCCGGGAAAATATATTAATGAATTGACCGCCGCGGAATTGCGCTACGAATGCGGACAGCGCGGTTTATCGGATACGGGCGCGAAGGGTGATCTCGAAATCCGATTAACACAACATTTCGCGGACATGAACCTGCAGGCCAACGAAATCCGGTTCCCGCCTATGGAACCCACCGGGCTGACCGGACATAACTCGGCCACGGGTCAGGTACCCGACGCCAGTCAAACCGCGCAAATACAGATCGAGACATCACACGCCCAAACCCAGAACACCACCAACAACACAACACCCCAACCATCACCCACACCCACACACCAACAAGCTATGGATATGATCCAAACGGGTCGTACCATAATTAAGGAGGTACGGCAAGCGGTGGAGAACTCGGCGCATGGCTGCGGTCTGGAATCGTGACTGACCATGCTCGAGAACTGTATGGCCCGCTTTGGCGAAGACCAACGTCGCATTGCAGAGACAATGCGACGCCTAGAGATGGGTATGGCACGCCAAGCACCGGAACAACAACCGGATGCAACCCCACCGACCCGCCCACGCCACACAATGTTATCGAACAACACGGAATACGGAGCGAGGTACCCCGCGGCATGTGAACAACCGTCCGCGGATAACCAACACGCCGACCATTCAGTACGTTTCGACGACACAACAAATTTACACCATGCCCCCTCCTCCACACACACCTACGCGGCACAACAATCGACGCTGATACCATACGACGACGTATGTGCAGCGAGACATTCGCTGCCGGAGTACCACGGGACAACACCTGAGGACCCGGCAAGATTTATTCATAAAGCGGAGTCGATAATGTACCAAACGCGTATAGATAGGTCGGCCTGGACAAATATTATCGTACAACAGCTAAAGGGTGCAGCCAGTACCTGGTGGAACACCATCAGACTACTGGACGTCACCTGAGACGAGTTCCGCGCCGAATTTTTAGAAAAATTCGACAACGTGGAAATTCAGTCACGGCTGCGGGCAGAGATAGTATCCGTCCGACAAACACCAACGCAATCGCTAACGGAGTTCGTGACACAAAAAAACCAACTTGCACGCCGCGTCAATACCGGACTATCTGAAACACAGCTAGTAGGTACTATAGCCGGACTAACGCGCAACGAATACCGCACGCACATAAGATTGCAAAGACCAGCGACTTTCGGAGACCTCCGCCGGATCGCTGGAGTCCTGGAGTACACACCTGACGACCCAGCGACACAACCACAGCCGAAACCGGCGCAAAAAAAATTTTCCCAAACCCGCCCACCACAACCAACGCACCAACCGCGAACACGGGACGGTACGGCAGGCAAACCGCAACCGCCCAACCCGTGCAGATACTGCGGAGGTCCTCACTGGAACAGTGACTGCCCCGGGAACACACCGCGTTCGGGAAACGGGAAATGAGTCGGCGGACACCTGTCCACGCCGCCGCCTCCACCACACACACACACACACCACCACGCCACCACACACAACGTTCGGCATTACAGCCGGGGATATAACCATCAAACGCGCATCGATAAACTCGGCGTCCTCACATATATCACCCGTCCAAACATCAACAATTTCGTTAAGTAGCAGGTCACCATCACCACACCACGCGGCACCCCAAAGGTCCGCATCAACGACCCCTTCTACGAAATCAACAGGTACACATACACATAGGCGCAAATGGGGGGGGGGGCTTAGCCCCCCAAACTTAGCCGTAGCCCCCCCAAAAATCTACAAGTTTATAATGCTATAATATTATAAATGTGTACAGTTTTAGATTCTGAGCGGAGCGATGAATGTATTGGTTTTACAATGATGTATGTTTTTTTTTATATTTTTATTTATATTTTTATATTTTTGTGTCTGTCATCACGTTTTAGGACAGTAAAAGTGCTTGGATTTTCTTCATCAGTAGCTTTTCTGGTAGGAAAGTGAATCTAGTTGGTACTTTGGGGGGTCAAAAGTAAAAATTTCCCAGTAGTTTTCACCAGGGGCGGATTGGCGAATTTTTTCGGCCCGGGAAATATGGATCAAACCGGCCCTGCACCGCAAATGTAACCCCCCACCAAAAAAAAAATGTTCATCATTTTACTTACATTTCAAAATTTGTTTAGTTTCACCCATAAATTAGTAAAATATATAATAGGTACCTATAATTAAAGTTATAACAGTTTAGGGTTAGTCAGATAAGGTTAACCTGTTCAGACTGTTCTAACTCGAACTTGAAGTTTGATCTTATTACATTTTAGATTCTGAGCGAAGTGATGAATGTATTGATTTTCCAATGATGTGTTTTTTTTAATTTTTTTAATTTTAATTTAATTTTTTATTTTTGCGTCTGTCATCAAATTTTAGGACTGTAAAAATAGTAAATACTTTGATTTTCTTCAACTAGATTTACTTTTCTGATAGGAAAGTTAATCTAGTTGGTACTTTGGGGGGTCAGAAATAAAAATGTCCTGGTGGTTTTCAAAAGTGCCGTGAAAAACAAAAGAAAAATTAAGTAAATCGGAGAATTTTTACGCAAAATCTGTTTTCGAGAAAATCGATTTTGGTTTTTGAAGCAACTCCAAAATAAATATGACTATATAGGTACACACAATTTTATTTGTTGGTTAAAAAGCTTGAAAATGTAATAAAAAGCTCCTAGTATATTGTTTCAAAGGCAGATGAAAAAAATTAAAAATTCAGTCACAATTTTTTATATAAGCATTTAAAGTTCAAATATTGACAAAATACGTAAAAATGACGAAAGTTTGCAAATTATTTTGAGTTTTAAATTCGTAAACAAATTTTAAAACACATTTTTAATACAAAATTCCTCATAAATTTGTCTACCTTTATCAAAAAAAAAAATATCAACAACAAAGTCAAATTACATT